CAGAATCGGGACCATCCTAAAAACAAATTAATACCATGTCTGAAAGCCCATTCAGAAGCTCCCCTCATCTATCAGTTTGACCTCCTCGGATGGCTTGTGTGTTGCTAGAAGCTATGCCGCCAGAGTTTGAAATTCCAGCAGGGTCACCCATGGAGAACAGGCTTCAGCCGAGCTTCCAGACTAAGGCAGAGTAGGAAGAAAGAAGAGCTAGGCCACTTCTGAAAAAGTAGCCACTGAAAGCCCTTTGAGTAGCAACGAAAAAGGCAACCCATTATGTATATAGTAGGAGCCTTCATTCTCTTAGGAACCCCTGGCAGAGAACAGTGCTACAGTGATCCAACATACGTACAACCTGTGAACATGTCACCATGTTCGGGTTAGAACTACACACACACAACACATGCACACACATACAGATACAAAGGGACTTCTAAAAGTTTGTGGGGGAGACAATCCCATTACCTATAAACTCCATTTTCCCACCAACATTTTGAAGCCCTATTATAGATGTATGAGTATGTGTTTACTTACTTAATTTAAATAAAGCCCTCTTTTATGGAGTCTTAATATTAAAAGCAGTTGCACGGTTTCCAAAATGTTGTCAAAGAAAAATTCATTTGTATTCATGTGATAAAAAAAATATGTTTTTTTCCCATTTGGAAAACACAACAGGAAGTTGAGCAAATCTTTTGTAGCTATGCAAATGATCATTCCGACAGAAATAGAGAGCTAGTGTGTCTGTTATCCAGAATATTAAGTAGGTTGTTTTACCCAATTTAGACCAAAAGACCTTCTTCTGAAGAATTCAGCAAGTTATAACCAACTTTTACCAACAAACTGTCCCAGAGGTTCTCTCTCTCTTAGATGCTTGGGAGAAATGCGGCAAAGGAAAAAGACATGGTGCTGTATGTTCTGTCCACTGGTGGTGGGCTTGTTGTTGTTGGTGGCGGTGGTTTTACTTTACTCACTTTGATTGATTTAAATATTTGGTTTTAAGTAAAAGTAAATGATGTGCCTCTCATCATTTCATTTGGTCCCTAGTATGCAATTGGCAGGAGCCCTCGTGCTTACAGGTTGGGCTGCTAACCACAAGGCTGGCAGTTTGAAGCCACCAGCCGCTCCACAGGAGCAAGATGAGGCTCTCTAGTCTGATGAAGTTTATATTCTCAGAAATCCACAGGGCAGTGCTACCCTGCCTGATGGAGACCCCCTGAATCAGAAATAACTTCATGGCAGTGAGTTTGATTTGGTGCAAATGGAAAACCAGTACACTGTTGATAAAGTAGACCTGAAGGAGGGAAAAAATATATATAGATTACCCACTAGGAGGTAGGTGTGGCACCAGATAATTTGGCATATATCATCTCATGTGTTCCCCACCAGGTAAGCAGGTTTATCATGTTATGTTTGAAGGTTCAGAAAATGAGACGCAGATGATCATCGTCATTGGTAGAACTTGGATTCACAGTTCTGTAACCGCGGGTTGCGAACACTTCCAAGAATCAGCATCTCCTCCAAAAATGATGGAAGATGAATGAAGGTGTTTCCCTTCTTTTCCAAAGTGAGCCCCTCGATTAGGAGTCTGCACGTGGGTGGTACACGTGGTGGGCAGTCGGCGGCTAACTGAAAGGTTGGCAGTTTGAATCCACCCACAAGCTCCCTGCAAGAAAAACCTGGTGACCTACTTTCAGAAAGATTATCCCCAAGGAAGTCTCATGGTGCTGCTCTCCTCTGTAACACACTCACTTGACGGCCCGGCACAATGATACTATTCAGCAGACAGACTCTCTGTCAAAATAGAATCACCTTTAACTTGCCCTCATGTTACATTAAAAGAAATGGACATCAATAAAAAAAAGAAATTCAAATTCATCAGTGATCACCTAAACTCGATCTCAGTTTGATGTACGTACCTTATGCCCAAGAGGTCAAAACTCAGAAGACTGGGATACCAAGGTGCTCTGAGTCCATGCGGAGGAAATGAAAAATCATCCGAGGCCGATGATTTCATTGTGTTGTTTCATTCTCCAATTGTGGTGCACTCATCGGAATCATTTCCATTTCTTTATCCATTTGGAAATTTCACTTTCATTGTCAGTCTCTAATTAGGTTCCTGGGAATTAAAAATAAGGGTGCATGTATCAGCCTGAGGCTCACCATCACACATAGCTCAATCTCTGGAGGAGAGTTGGTCTTAGAGACAAAACGAAATCACAAATCTTTCTCTTTGTCCAAAATCACAATACAGGGTCATGTTAAGAATAGGAGAAAATTGTTCTCCTTGGCCTCTTTCCACAAAGCATTAATATTTATTAGCTTGCACATTACTGCAGGATGAATGTTTTATGATTTTAAAAAGTTAACAAAATTGGAACCTTAACCATAAGAGGCCTTCTCTTTCTGTGTAAAGGGTTCAGGATGAGGCCAGTAAACCACCGCCGTGGTATTTGGGGGCTCACTCGTTCACCCATCTAGACAGGAAGTAATTGAAGGCTGCTTTATGTGATTACTGGGAACAATAATCCAAAAGTTACAGGCTCCTTTATCAAGAAGTGCCAGCTGAAATGAAGCTATAGAGAATGTTCTGTTATCACAGCTACTTTAATAAATTGCATCTATGTTAATAGACCTGGATGGTATTTAAAAAACTTGGAAATACTTACACATTTTAAGTTTATAAATCAACTCCTAAACCGTTCAGATAAGAGTTGTGTTTTGTTTGGGTTCCCATTTTAAGCAAAAGCATATCTGTCTTGAGTTTTCTATATTCGCTCATTCATTAATCACGAAGGGCATTCTATTTGCCGGACACGGGGGAATGTAGACGGTTTGAAATCAGAATCGGGATCTGAAAAATGACTTGCATGGGATTTTTATTGCTAAAGATTGCTCTTCCTTAAATAACTATGTCATTCCCTTAACAAACTACTCAATCTTACTAGAACCTTTCATGGGGAACATGAACATGAACAAGAGCACCCCAACTCAATAATTAACATACACCCCACAAGAAGGCACAGAAACAAACACCCAGTAATGTTCATTCCTGTCCTGTGATGGTTTTTTGGATTTAGAACCAAGAAGGCTCTCCTAGCGACATGTAACAGTGAGTCTGTCCGTGTTCCTCTTTCATTATCTTGAATATAGTTCCTAACTCAAGGTAGGATTGCAAGGGTAGATTTCCAACACATCATGTAATGTTCCCATTGGGTGTAAGCCATATGGCGAAGTGGAAAAAGCATCAGTTTTGGAATCAGGCAAACCTGGATGTCCATTTGGGTTCTACCTATAATAAGCACATGGAACATTTATTTTGACGCTTGGGTTCTCAGTTTCTTCACACACAAAATAAAAATAACAGCCTCTAGCTTGCAAGATCATCACAAGGGATTTGGATAATGTGTGCATAGCAACTAGCCCACAATAGGCATTGTTGTTGTTCTGATATGAAAAATCTATTATCAAAACTTTTATAGCAAAAAAATCTGAAAGTCTCTGTGGTAATCATTTCTTTTGTGAGAATGAATACCAAATGGGCCCCAAGGACTTGGAGATTAAAGAAGTCCCAAATGTCCAACTCTGCCAAGATGCCAGTCAGCTCCATTTCCCCCGACTCCTCCCTTGAGTATGTGCCCTCACACTTCCAGCATCTTAGAAGAGCTACAATGTCCCACAGAAACACAAAAATGCTTGCGGAAATGCCTCACATCGCGATGGGTGCTGTTAGTCTAAAATCTGAAGGTCAAGCAGGGGTAAACCAAATGCGGGGTCCAGAGGGCTCGCTCCACTCCTGGCTCTTGGCAGTGATGTGATCACACCACCTGTTCTCAGAAGGGGTCATTCTATATCGCAGGATGTCATTGCAGAGAATCCTGCTCACAATTCCCCAGAGGCAAATCTTTTCAGTGTCTTCCCCCGCCTTCTAGTGCAATCAAATTAACACTTAACTCTTCACCCAAATATGATGAGGGTAACGAATGTGCAAATGTGCTTTATACAATGGATGGATGGATGGTGATAAGAGTTGTATGAGCCCCCAATAAAATGATTTTAAAAATAAAAATTTAAAAAATAATAACAATCTATTCTCCAGTCTTGGACTCTCCCATTCATGTACACATGACCGGGGCCTCAGGCAGGATGCTTTCAGTAGGCATTGCCCTCCTACTAATCTCTTTCAGCCAGGCTTTTCCCCAGGCCCCTCCGAAGCAGCTTTTCTCCTCTCAGTTGTAGCATATCATTCCTTACATCCATTACCATAACAGTAACCGAGATAACCATTAAACAAAGAGTGTGGCCTGATTCACCCCCTCTCTAAGGTCAGATCCTAATCATATCGTACTTTTATTCATTATAAAATAATGCCCTCCAAACTGGGACGATAGCCTCAAGGGTGTGAAATCCAGATTATGATCTATCGCCTAAGGGATTATGGCCAGAAAAGTCATGTTAATTGAGTTAAAACTCAGGACTCACTGAGAATAGTGTAACTCACCATGGAGTTACAACCACCACCACCACCACCACCACCAAAGTACCAAATGAATCCATCCTTTACTTACTAGAATCAAGTTGATTCCAATGATAGTAACCCAACAGGACACGAGGGAATTCCCCTTTGGGTTTCCAAGACTTCAAATCTTTATAGGGGCTAGACAGCTTCATCTTTCTCCAGTTGAGTGGCTGGTGGCTTTGAACTACTAACCTTGTGGTTAGCACCTCAGTGTGTAGCCCACTTAGCCAACAGGGCTCTCGTATTCACCTACAGGGACCTAAATAAGTAAATTGATAGCCCTGATGGCATGATATTTCCTCAAATGGAACTTTTACCATAAATTTTATTCTCTCCAAAAGAATATTAGGAAGATGATACAGTTCGCAACTTACTGTACCAAATGATTGATTGTTTTCCTCTCTCTCCACATGATATCTGGGTCCCCTTTTTTTAAAATGTCACCTTCTTTCTCTGATTCATTTTTCTTCTTCTTGAAATCCGGCAGGTTGTCCGTCCCTACCAGACCATGTCCAACCCCATGAGCAAGCTCACTGTTCTCAACAGCATGCATTCCCATTTCATCCTGGCTGACAATGGGACCACTGGAAAATACGGAGCAGAGGTGAAACTCCGGAGACAATTGGAAAAGCATATTTCACTTCAGAAGATAAATACAAGTAAGTAGGCTGCTGTCCCCACTGCCGGGTCTCATGGGTAGTGTACTGAAAGGGAATCATTTTACGTACTCCAGGTAGCAATATTGTGAAGCCTTGCGCAAGCTCAAATAGGGTTAGGACGTGCACAAGGTCAGCGCTGAGCACTGGCAAACGTCATCCAGAAGTGGCCGATTGGAGGCGGGAGAACTAACTGTGGAATTAGTGGACTCCAGCCCAGTTTTCAGGCGTGAGAAGTTCTGCCCTTTCTCGGTTTGTGAATGTAGATATGCTTTTTCCCGAAACTTTTCTTACTTCCTTGAATCAATAAATACTGTGAGGAGGAGAGGCACCCTAGAGAAATTATGTCTATTTAGTAAACTTGCTTTGGTAGCTTAAAAATAAAAAAGCTGGCTGAGTTAGGGTCATTCAAAGCAACCACCTATTCTTTAAGCTAAAACATCGTGAAAGATAAAGCTTTCATCTGTCTGTTAATTTTGTGAAAGCAGTTATGGTCGATTTGAATGTATTTAGGTATGTGCCTAGTTATTTCTGCATAGCACAGTCCTCATTACCAAATAGTGCCCCCACAGAAATATCATAAGTGGATGGATTTAGGGAACAGAAATTTATTGGCTCACAGTTCTGGAGGACAAAGGCCCACAGCAGCATGTCAGCCATGCGGATCCTTCCTCTCTCCTAGTTCCCGGTCTCTGCTTCTGACTTTGGGGAGTTCTTGGCTTGTCAGTGAGGCGTCCCATAACCGCTGTCTCTCCCTGGTGTGTCTGTCAGATCTCTGGCCCTTGAGTCACTCAGAAGTGATTAGTTTTAGAACCACCCTACACAATATGACCTCAACGGATTGATTGGTGGATTTTTTTAACATTAGAATGTATTATTGAAAGTGATTACATTGTATTCCATGTACGCACATGTCATCCTATTGCATTCCATTGTGGAAAGGAATCTCCTCTCCCAAGGTCAGTTATTTTAATCATATGTAAGAACTGTATGACAGCAGCTAGGGTTTGGTCAAACAATGGGGAGGGGTAGTCTAGTAAATGTGACAAATAAAATTAGCCATCATTACCACAAAATGCATATCAAATGCTTGCACTACAATGATCTTTTTAGCACTCAGTGCTCTATGCGATGTTTATTAGATGGACGTGTTTGTCTTAACTGCAAACAGCTTAGCAAAATGATCATGAAGTGTCTTGCATGTAAATGTCACAATGGTATTAAAACAAATACCACTTCTCCTCCCCAAATAAAATGAAAGCCATGTCATACAGTAAGGTGAAGGCTCACTCCCACTCCTATCAGGGAAATGTTGACCTAATTGGCTGACCTTCTAAAACTTGGAATTCCAAAATACAAAAGAGTATTCTGTTTGACCAGACGAGCTTTCCAAAAGTTAGTATAATTTGATTTGACTTGTCCAAGAAGTTTTTATCTCTGCTTGTCTCTCAAGTCTCCGCATCTATCCCAAGTGCTTCTTGCAGCCCCCTCTCCTCTAGAACCGCAATGTTAGACCTCATATCAAATTGAGACTTCTCCTTTCCATAGTCTCGCTTCTTGTTTCATCTTTTAGATAGCTCTACTGCCTTAAGCAGTCACCTTTCATGCATTTATGTTTTTCACAAAGAATTCTAGAATAAAAAAAATGAGGTACAGGCCTACAGTCAAAATTGAATTCAGAAACTTTTATCTACCTAAGAATCCCCAAGTGTCTTTTGAAAGAGAAAATACAAATTATGCTCGAGCAAACATTTTCTAAAAGAAAAAGAAGAAATTATAAAAGTGAAACAAATGTATCTAGAAACCAACAGAGGTAGATATTTTTTAAGCACGAGTAGCAATGGGTGGTATATTTGGCTGTTAATACTAAAACCTAATTTAATCATAATATTTAATAAAACAGGCAGATGTCATATAATTAGTGACATATACAAGAGGGCTTCAAGAAGTATGGGGAGGGGGGAGAGAATCCCATGATCTTTTCATTCCATTTTCTATAAACTTTGAAAACCCCTTTGTATTTATCTTTTTATATTCTTCTTTATACCCCGAGGTTCAGAAAGAAAGCAGCCATAGCAGGGAGCTGAAATCCAAAGTGAATGGGAGCAGGGTAAACAAGAAGCAAGCTCAAGATCAAGTTCAATGTTAGTATTTGAGGATATATATCCAGGCAGGTAAGGGATGCCATTGTATGCATCCCTGGTGGCAGCTGAGCTAGATAGTCAAGTAGTATGGAAAGTAGAGCTAGGTGTGTGGTTGTGTGAGTTAGGCACCCAGAAAAGAGGGTGTGAGTGGGAATTTAAGCTTAGCCAGGGCTCTGTTGGCCAAGTCCTGCACCTAACAGGTGACCCAAAGGAAAGAATGTTTTTTATAGATGGTCCTTTCAAGTGGAGATGTGTGTTGGTAATGCAGGTGCCCCTCTGGGAGGAGCATCTTCCTGCATTGCTCATGGAGGGGTTGCCCTGTGTGAGGGTGGCCCTGCAGGGAGGTACCGTAAGGGACAGAGCTCAGCATCACAGAGGTAAAGAAGAGGCCACAGGTGGAGTCTAGACAATCAGGAGGCTCAAGGAGCCAGTCTCAGGACTAGCTGGTTGTCCTTTGGTAGATCATCAGGAATAAGTCACATTCCTGGGGGCACGAGGGCCATGCTAGATTATCAAGACAGGTGTTGCGACATGGACATATTGGCAAATGGGAACCTAGTCCGGGAAGAGGCATAGACCCAGGACTAAACGGAGGCATGAAATCAGAGAATTTCCTGAAATATCCTTGGTCCTCTTGAGTTTGGGGTAGTAGTTAAGTCCACAGAGTGGCGGCTGAGTGGCAATAGATAGAAGGGAGTGTGGACAGATAGGGCCAGATGGTCATTGGAGTCGGCATAATTGACAAATGTCATGCCCCCCTTGCGTTATGGACTGTCTTTGAAGCTTCCTAGACGCCCAGGAGCCCTGATGGCAGAGAAGGTTACACATTGGGCTATGTGTCAGGTGGGATTGTCTAGAAAATCAAAGCCAGCGACACTCATAGTTGTATAAGAAAGAACTTTATATCGAGCAGCAACTCTATTAGGAGGGCATCATAGCCCAATCCTACCCAAGTCCATAGTTCGATGTTAACCAGAGCCCTCTTCAGCAGCCTCACGTGGCTGCGGGCCAACGTCACAGAAAGTTTGCATTTGGCCGGAACACATTTGAAACAGAAACAAATCCAATGACACTCAAATAGTGTAGCACCCAAAGTCCAGAGGCCTTGTGTCCCTCAGTCCTTTCATTTCCTTCTTCAAGAGTTTAGGACATCTAAAATATGATCATGGAATGAACTTGCCCCTGAAAATTAGATGCTGTTTAAGTGCTACTGTTCTAAAGCTGGCTGTCCCGGAGGACACACTCGGGCCTTTCCTCATGAGTGCCTTTCATCTGGATCACTTAGGGATGGCCTGTCGACTGTAGCCACCGCTCAGCAGCACTCCCCCCTTTATTTTTATATACATGGCATGATCTTTTGAAGAATATTCTCCTGAGCTACTAAGTGAATTCTACGCAGGTCTATAAACCCTTTCTGATCCACATGCCAAGTCCGAGGAATAACACATTGCAAGCACCCGGTGTTTTGCATGTTCCTCAGCATTCTGGCATGCGTTCCTCCATGCTCTCCCCTCCCTCACACACGCTACTGTCAGCAGTCAATACAAAAGGATGGTCATTGATTACCCAACAGATTTGTTTTGAAAGGAGATTCTTTCCCCCCCAAACATGGGCAGTTGCCTCTATCGGTCTGCAATCTTGTAAACGTCAACATGCAAAATCTCAACCGTTTCATTGTTCTGATGATCACAATTGGACCCTGTTTTATGCCAGACATGATTGAGGGTCAAGAAAAGCAGCAGGAATAAGCAAGATGTGGGTCTGAGGCCCAGAGGAGCCAATGAATACGTAAATAAGAAAGTATTGGATGCCCGAAAGTTACCAGTGCTATTAAGAGAACTAAAGCATGTATATGTACCTGTGAATATGTGAGTGGGTGTGCACATGCGTGTTACAGACTAGGCATGGCAAGCCTGCTGCACAGATGCTAGGAGATGCCAGTGCATACTGAGAACCCCAGAGTCTAGCGTGCCTAAGGAGTAAGAATTTACAGAAAGGAAAGTGGGATGAGGACCAGCTTCCAGAGAATGTCACCCAAGTCCTTCAGAAAGTGAGAGGGGGTGGAATTGGGGACACACGAATGAAGATCAGGGGCACTTTCGTCCTGTGTAACAGGAACAAAAGAAGGGTCAATTGGCTCCATGTGGGTAGAATAGAACATTTTCTAGTTGGATGATCAAGTATTTCTTTTCTGATTGCTTCTATATTTAAATAAAACAGTACCATGGGTCATCAGTTGAGGATGTGGGAGGGAAGGAGGTGTTGGAGGTGGAGGACAGATAAGAAGGATGAAGCAATCTGTTTATAGGATGTGACTGAGTACTCCAGGGAAATGGAGGGTGGCCACATAGCAACCAAGAAGCACTTGAGATTTGCAGTCATATATGTAAAGCGACGTGAGCCACCAGGGTTGTGTATTTTTCCCCCAAGCCACGCTCAGCTTGAGTAATAGAATAAACCTAGGCTTGGGTTCAACGTAGATTGAGCTTGTGTTTGACATGTAGGAAGGAGGAAGAGAACAGGAAGGGCACAAGGCAATGCATTCCCTTTATATCTATATTCCACGAATGGATCAGTGAATCTGGCAAAAGAAATGTTGCAACTGAGATTTAAAAGAACATAGAATCACTCATTTCAAAGACCAGATTGAACCATAGAGGGAGAGATAACTGAATTGTGTCAAAAGTGACCCCCTAGCATAGTAAATATCCCGTATGCTAAGCTTCAAGAGGTTAAGCAATCAAAGGTCCACAATGAACACTTTCCATGCTTATTGCACTACGTATGGCTCACACAAACATTGAATTGACTTAGCATGTTTTGGGGAACAGCTTAGCTGTTCAATAAAACACCTTCCAG